GAGTTTTTATTGTTGGTTATTTTTAGGGGCAAATTGAAAATGAGCATATCTACAATTCCTTTTAAATTAAGGCACAACCAAAAAGTACCAAAATATTGGTAAAACACGAAATTGACAACATTAATATCATTAATTCATTCCGTATTCCGTGACTAAAATAATGCTGAGTAATTTGTTAAGTTAAGGTCATATTTGAATAATAACTTAAACAGATCAATGAAATTACCACTATTTACAGTATCATTCAGGCTTAGGAATGACTTTGTGGGAAGTAGAAAAAACATTTTTTTACCTTTTTTTGTAAATATGTCAAAAACAGCTTTCTCAAACTGTCAAAATGCCATGAAGAGCTTTTATTAAGGGTATGTTCAATGTATTCCTTTGTACTTGGAACATATTTGGAAAGCATTCGAACTTGAAATTTTGTATGCAAGAAAGGGTCATTCGCTTCTCATTCTCGATTTTTAATTAAAATGAGCCATTTTCGGGCAGTGTGAAGGCCATATAACAGTGAATACTTTTATTGTTAAGAAATTCACGTAATAAGAGACAAACAAAATGATTTTTTCTTTATAGTTTTTGCGAGCCCTCTGTGGGCGCGACGCCTAGCGTCGCCACTGCTTCATACCTAATGACAAGCATTAGTATCACATTCTATTAGTAGCTTTATTTAAAGTTTACGAGATTTTTTTTACCAGTTGCGTCAGAATTTCAGATGGAAGTGCATAATGCTTATGAACCAAATATGAAGATACTGCCCATATTTGGCTTCAGGAGACCTCAACGCTTATTGCAGTTAACTGTGTTGGGAAAACATAAAAGTAACATATTTTTTCTAAATAAGTATGCAGGATCTGGGCCCACACTTATTCACCGCACACATTGTTTTATAAATTTTAGTCTTGAATCCGCATACAAAGTCACGGCATATCCATGACTCTTGCAACAGAACTATATCAGCCTGATATGTAGTCTGACTTGGTGTCCTCTCGACTGATTTTAAGATGTGTCAATATCTTGGTTTCCCAATCGAAGAAGATCTAAATTCTGTTTAGGGTCGAATAGTTCAGAATCCAGGAATTGCTTCTTGTCTGCAACAACCTTGAGTTTAGCGTCTGCCCATACCTCACCAATTCAGGAGATTGAATGAAACCATCACAAAAAGTGGGACCCTTACTTGGAAAGTCCTTAAGAAGAACGAAGTAGACATTTAGAAGCTTATACTCCACCTTTGTTTTTCAAGCATAGTAGTACCATCAGGGTCATTAATGACAGTCTGCTGATAGCGTTGCAGCTTTTCACAAAAAACTTTGTCTGAGGGAGTTTACGACCAAGCTTTGCCTTTTTGGTTTCCGGCTTCGAATCTGATTCATTTATCAAGTACTAAGATTTCGATGCAGGTTCCTGTTAAATCTCTTTAGAAGAGCCTGTTTCGCCCAAGCTTTCTGGAGAACTGAACAAACTTTAGATGTACCGAAGTATGTTATTACTTCTCAAGCAGCCTAGTAACCACTCTGTGTTCTTTACAGAATCTCTGCGAAAGAGGGGCCAACCGTAAAGGAGAACCTAAACATATAAAGCTAGCAGATTTGTGGGATTGATACCACTTTTTACCGCTGAAAGAAGACGGAATGTACCTTATTGGTACAAATTAACATATCGTTGTCGGAAATAACAAAACCTAGTGTTGTTAAGCCTAGTTTTTGTTAAGTTTTTATTTGATTTACGTGTTGTGGAGAAACGGATGTTGATCTGAGCAAAGATGCTTAATATAGCATATACTAAAAATTATAATGGTACTATATTACCATATTTTATTTGTTATGAACTCGATGTTCGGTAAAAATGTTTAAATTTTTAACAACAAATAGACAATTTCGAAGCTCTTTTTGAGCAAAAACAATTGTTTTTAAAGTTCTTGATATCGATGTTATTGGCTTTTCATTTTAGGACAGTACAGTACCTAATTCATAGAATGACAGAGCATCTGACGTTGGATCGAATGACTATCCGTGTTCTGGGCGAAAAGCAATACATCTTTCAACATTAGACCTTTTTAAGCTGCTTTAAATCTTGACGTTGGGTGTCGTTCAGATTTATTTATTTTTTTTATTGATTGATGACTGTTGACTCGATCATTATTTCCCTTGAAAACATCTGTAAATGGCTTGTCTATTGAAACAAAATCTTTTATAAAGCATCTGTAATAATTTGCTAATCCCATAAATGACCTGAAATTATAAATATCGTGTCTACGGCACAGTTTCGGATTACCCTTATTTTACTTGTACTTGTCCGAACACCGCGTCCAGTTAGAGTAAGACCTAAGTACTCAACACTTTTCTTAAAAACTAAGGTTTCTCCTGTGAAGCTCTCTTGTTGACATGGCTCAATTTCCTCAAAATGGTCCTCTGAAATCTGCTGTGGACGCATTTTTCAAATCAAACGGAAATCTATACATTTTTCCATTTCCACTAATGACCGAAAAAGTGATTTTTTAACCAATTAATTTATTGGTACCAATTTACAGTTTTATTACTTTCCATGCTGTAATCCACCTTATGAAAGCGGACTAAAGACTTTCCGAAAAGGCACTATTTTGCATGCTGTTCACTATTTGTTCAAATTGAATTGTTTTATTAAATTATTTGCAATACTTGTTTTGTGTTATTGTGATATTGTTTTTTATATTGTCATTTTTGATGATTACAATAAAACAAAGAGTGTTTTAAATCGAAATTAAGTATTTTGTTTCGTATTAGAATATATTTCTGTAAATTCCGTTGTGGAAAATCACTTAATGCATTCTGTAGCCATATTATAGATCATTTTATAATGGTATTCACTACGTTTTTTTATAAAATTTACCAATTTTAAATTAATTTAATATTTTCTAGCATTAATATATATAAACAGCTTTGTTCAGCAATCTTTAACGCTGTTCAAACAGTATAATTGTAGTATACGTTTAATTTATCCTTAAGGACTGTTTGTAGTCATATAGTAAGTAAGGTAAGATACTGTACGGTGGTAAGAGAATGCCTTCATCGCACAGTGTACCAAAATAAAAATTAGGTGATGAAAGTTCGGGATTTTCTGAACCAGTAGGTATATTGAAATTAAATTGTCCTTAAAGAAAGTTTTTGAAATGGACTTTATTTGCTTGATACCAACTAACAACTAATAATATAACGACATTTATAACTATAAAAATATTTAATTTGTATATATTTCAAATTTCATACAAATCGGTTGAACTTCTTTGCCTATTGGGGAATTGAATTAGAATTAGTTAGCTATATGTACAAGTATTTATATATATATACATCTGCTCAAAAAGTATCCGGATTTTACATATGGTACAAATTTGAGCGCCATATGTCAATTAGTTTGTTTACAGCAGTTGTTGAAGTGAGACTACCTCAAGTGCATTTAGCGATTTTTACTATGGAAAATTCTTGTATGCGATTTTTTGACCAAACATGGCACCACTGTCATCGCTCAGACACCATATTCGCCAGATCTGGCGCCGTGCGACTTTTTCCTGTTCCCGAAAATCAAATTGCACCTTCGTGGTAAGCGTTTTGAGTCGATTAGATCGGTAAAAGAGAAGTCGTTAAAGGAACTAAAATCCATACCTGCACGGGCCTACGAAAAGTGTATGGAAGATACTTTTCTTGAGGTTGTGGCGCACGACTCTTTCAACTGCAAATAGAATATCACGTAGCTTGAAGATCACGTTTGAAAATTACATTTAAGGCGTGCTACTCAGTGATGTAGACTACTACTACTTCTACTACGTTCATTCATTGGTTCACTCTTCGTTTGACTTGCAGCGCGCAGACATCATGAATCATTGTAAATTGTTTTAATACAAAAAATGTGTTTTTACACAAGATATTTAAAAAAATGTAAGAACTGACCATGTTTGGGCCCAAATTTGGATGAGTTCAAAATATATTAAAAAGAACGCCAATTTCAAAAACCATATTTAGGTAAAATTTCATTTCAAAATCTGTCTAATTTTAATTTTGGTACACTATGCGTCGGTGCATCTTTTGCTTATATTTTTTTATTACTTATATTTTTAATTGGATGGTTTGTTTTCATTGTTTTTTTCACTTCATTAGTTATTTTTGAACTTGAAGCGTAACTTGTTCTTCTACTTCAAATATTTATTTATTAACATATTCACCGTATTTTATAGATATGAGTTTATGCAAATAACTGCGCAAACTTTTGAATGGATTTTCTCGAATTTATATTTTGGTATTATTTATTTAACGTTACTTGATATTGCGTTTTCCTTTTTTCACTTTTTTTCCACATTGAGCGCTAATTAATTACTCGCCTCTGCAACTGACTGCTTGGTTCGTGGACGAGGTTTTTGTTTTTCAATTTGCTTTCACACGAGTGTTCCAAAAATGTTGAACGAAATCTTTATGCAACTAAATAAAACACTGTTAGGTTGTTTATTGTGATTTACATAATATTTAACTGTTCTTAAAACTAATTTTGTTTATTTTAGTAATATTATATAATTACAAATTCTTTGTTTTAAAACATTTTTAAAAAATTAAAAATCAATTACAAATATTAATTTATTTATTTCATTTATTAGTAGCTGCATTCAGAACAATAGGAAAACAGAGGTCCTTCACGTTACAATACATTTTTCATAAAACAATAAAATAAATAAAAAAAATATTAAAAACTATGTCCTAGAAAAGGGCAAGCACAAAAATTATACTAAACATCCCTCAACGGTCTTTTACTTCATTGACGAAAACTAAGCGATTTCTAATAAATTTTTGTTTTGGTTGCAGTGATAATTAAACTTTTACTTCTAAAATCAGCAAAGAGTTGGTTTATGAAATAAGAAAATCCTTCTAATTATTATTAGGTGACTTATAAAATATTTTTGCATTATGTGCGGGAAAAAATAAATTTTCAACACAACAATATTTAAGCCTACACAAATATCCTTTTCTTTTGCTTTTAAAATAGAAACGGTTCCATATATATTATATATTATCACAGTCTGTCAGACAGTATTTGACCGCAACTTTTTGTTGATACTCGCAAGTTTGTTGTTCCTTTTATATACTATTATATACTATATCGGTTTTAATTTTTCCGATGTTTGTTTTTTTGTGGTAAAATCGGTGACCTGTGGTATGACATCGCTTCGGTCATTTGCATTGCAGGATTTCGCGAAGATGACTAGTTTAAGTTTCTGCAACCAAGATCTTCATGTACTTTTTGTGGCCTTCTGAAATGCAGAAAAATACCTTTATAAATAATTTATTTAGGTTTTTGCAAATCTCGTTTGTTCTTACAATGTTTTCCACATTCGTAATTATGCACTTAATCTGCGATTTCCTATGTTAACCAAATATTGTCGTGATAAACAATGTTAAGCAGAGTGGGTGGTTTATTAAGATTGCATCACTTTCCTGCAATTTCATGTTTTCTGCACGGATAAGGCACTATATTTAACTTTATTAATATACATACAACTTTTTTCTATTGATTTTTGGGGGAGGAATTTGCTGACTAGTGGTCATTGTCAACAATTCCTCTTCATTCTTCCTTTTTTTTGGAATTTGATTCAACAAGTTAAATATTTAATTAGAGAAGTATTATTTAATATTTTTCTCTATCATCCTGGTTTAATAAACATATTATCTATAATAATACAGCGTTTAAGTTTTTTAGTAAAATAGGTCAACATTAGCTGCACATTTATTTAAACAAACCATTTTTAAACAAAATTTTCTTTTAATTAAAAACAAAAAATCAGTTTTTAATTTGAAATATCAGTTTTTAATTTGTTAATAAAAACAGTTTTATGTCAAAGCGAGTAACTCACAAAATCCAATTAAAAAATAACGCATTCAAATCTTTGTACAATGAGTTCGTTTTTACAGAAAAATATAAAAAAATAGAAGTCATAGTGAATATTCAAAATGACAAAATAATAATTGGAACTTAAATATTACAAAAACTTACTTAGATGATTCTCATGTTTCTTTTGTTTTGTTATAGCGCACCCCATCATAGTAAAATTTAAGTTTAATACAAATTAATTTCCAGTTGGTAAAATCTGTACTTTTGTAAAAATATAGTTGGCAATTTGAAATATATTAAACTTTTTCTAATATCAATTTTATTTTGTTTCTATGCAAATATACGTTGCTTTAATTTTAGACATTCTTTAATGTAAAATTAGTATATACGAAAAAAAACACAACCGAAATCTTGTAAATGTTGACATTATTTTATAAAATATAATTTCGATATCATCTTGAATATAAATAATATTCATTAAATTATTATGCCTTGCTTTATCCGTCAAAACTTTGACTGTTTAAGAACACTGCTCAACTAGCTCATTTACACTTCAGTAAATAGGTACGGTTTTTTATTTTCATGGTATTGTATAATAGACGAAACTCGACTCGATTCAGTGCAAAACATGATTATTGATTTTATGACGTGTCCACGTTTTTATAAATAAACGAAATTCTTTACTTTTGAACCTGGAAAGAAAATCGTTTTTAATGCAAGTGGTGGTTGTTACGTATAATTGCATTAATACTGAGTAAATATTGCTTTAAAACTAATTTCGTATGCTTATATTAGGTGGATATATACATATATCTATTATAAGTAGTTATTTAGACATCAGTTATTTAAACTGTGGAAATACATTTTTCATATTAAGTGTTAATTCGACCATCGATTATCAAAATTACGGAGTGACAAAGTTTTTCATTTTCTGTTCGATTATGTTTTAAATTTTTTCAAATTTAAATTAAAATCGAGTTTTTGTATTTTTAAGTTAAGTAGTCACAAATATAGGAGATATATTGTTGTATATTATAATAAAAAGCACTTTATATAAATAACATAAAATCTCACCTTCACTTAATTGTGTCAGAAAACTTAGTATCTGTGTCTATTAACAGCATAATTAGTTTATGATTTATTATTTTGCGAGTCTTTAACAAAAAAAGGGTAGTGTTCGGATGCCAGCAATTAAGGTATTCGTAGTATAATCTAAGCTTATTTGTTGCGTACATGTCGTTTTCAGGAGAATATTTTATCAAAAGTAAAGTACGGCATTTCAAAATGGTCGTTATTGACATTTTATCTTGGTTAGTGTTCGTCACGTGATAAAGATCCTTTTTCTTTTCTCTAGGTTAATAAACATGTAAATCATACAGTCATGCAAATGTAAGCGTAAGTAAGGAGCCTTGCGAACTGCTTGCCGGTATTGAATTCAAACATTAGAGATTGTTACTAAAATTTTTTCGTTCTTAGGAAGCTTCCAATAATATCTCCTAGCTTTTATTCAGCTTTTAAAATAGGGTTTTCCACTTCCAAATTAGGGGAAAGGGGACCGACTTCAGTATGATCCTTATTAATAATTCTTTGAAATAAGGTCTGTTATAGATATTTTTTTGTGTTTACAATAATCTACTTCATTTAGTACAAATTCATAAGCCTGATGAAAAATTGGATTGCAATTCGAATAATATTAAGTCCTCATACACCATTTCCTCATACACCAAACATCTTCTCTCAGTTTTCGTTAGTAAATGGTGAAATAAGTTGCGTATTTTATCAAGATTTCTTGTTTTCTGTGCTCGCTAAAATAACCAAATAATTGAGCTAATCACATTCTTGATATGAGCTGGCGGTATAATATTACGATCCGAAGAAGATGGTTATGCATCATGGATTTTCTGAATTAAAGAAAGGAATTGTATCTCAATGCGGTGTGAAATAACAGAAGTATCAAAAAGTTTTAATGTTGCATTAATACTCAAAATATGGAGAGTTTCTGATATTTTAGCGAAGGGCTTTTTAATCGAACAATACGTATCCGCATCATCAAATTCAAAGATATGTGTGTTGAAAGCTGTTTGTATTAGTTCATTATGCAATGCTTTGTCGCATTAGTGGTTGCATTATGTTTTACATTATATAACTGTGATGCTGTACATAATAATATTAAACAGAGTGTTGCTAGTGTAAGAACACACGAATTAGAAGAATTAGATTGAATGAAAACTATGGTTAGTAACTTTGAGTGAAAAATTTTGGACGATGGCATGAAAACTAGATAAGGTAACGTATCAACATATTTACATATTGTACCACATATGACGTACCAATATTTGACGTATCAATATATGGAGCGAACCATATAGTTACAGAATTACATAAAACCAGGTTTGAAACATTGTGTCAAAATTAGACCAAATGATTTCTCCATATTTAAATGAAAAATGACAAACATACAAAATTAAATGATTTTTTTTGACTATGATGCAAACTTAATAACACAAATGTGTTTTGATTTTCAAAGGTAGCTGGTAGTATCACCATATTATCTCTTTATTTGTTTTATCCGCACAGGATACGCTATTTTATAAAATTTCATAGGACTACCAAATAATATATTTATTGTTTTTATAAATATATAAAAGATTCCTTTAGAAATAATAATGATTTAATAAAGATTTAACAATATTACTTATGTGACGTATAGGGTGGTTTTGTCCCTCAGCAATATATCGCTTAGAACTATTGACTTAAGGGAATTAAAAACAATGGGTTTCAGTTTTAAATATTGAATACATTTTTAATGCTTGAATTTCCAGTTGTTATATTAAATAGTTTCTATGTACTATATTCACAATTCTATTTCCTATATATTGTCATCAAACAGTCACATATTGGCTATTCCTTTTTTAATAAAAATAATATTCAAATTTTTATGAAGTATTTTAAACAACAAATATGTCTTTATTGCAAACTTTTACAATTTCTTATAACTTTTAAACGTATATTAGTATGTATGTTGATCCTTTTTATCGAGTCAGCGCAACTGGGCACTTTTACTCTTTGGTAGCTGGGGGTACTACAGGGTCCCACCCATCTCATTGACTAAATTGTATATCACTCATAAACTTCATAATCATTCAGTGATTGATCTAAGATCTGCGTACCTCCCCGTGCGGAGACTGATTGCTCTAAGATTAGATAGTGGTAAGTAGGATAGCCTGTCAATTTTCGCATATAACTTCAGGGCTCTGTCCCTTATGTATTTTTTGATCGGGTCTATTCTAAGGTCTCTTAGTCCGAAGGTATTTAGATACTTTGTAAATCAATGAACACACCTGCTTGCTGCTTCCTAACGACTTAGGCTACAAATAAACATTGTAACTGCATGAGTTAAAATACGAATACAAGTAAAATGACCGATATCCGAAATCCAAATCAATGAAATTAAATTTGAAATTTTATGACATACTTATTTATTTCTTACTTATTTCATACTTATTTGTCACATTTAGGTAGGTCATGCGCATAACATTTCATATTTAAGAAATATGGTATATAAATAGGAAGTACCTAATAACCTGATTATTCATTCTGTAACAAGAGATTCGTAATTGTTATATTAGATAATATAATATAATATAATATAATATAATATAATATAATATAATATAATATAATATAATATAATATAATATAATATAATATAATATAATATAATAAAATAATATATATAATATATATATTATAAATAATATATATAATATATAATATATAATATATATAATATAATATATAATATATAATATATATAATATAATATATAATATATAATAATATAAAATATATATATTATAATATAATATATATAATATAATATATAATAAATAATATATATATAATATAATATATATAAATAATATATATAATATAATATAATATAATATAATATAATATAATATAATATAATATAATATAATATAATATAATATAATATACATACCAAACAAAACATGGATGGCGAAAGCTATATATACATTAAAAATGTTTTTATTTAAAAAAGAGTTCAAATTGTCTGCAGAAGAAGAAAATGGTCTCTGCGATATATGTACAGTCGCAGTCATAAGTCTACAAGAAGTCAGTAAAAAACTTTATTTGAAAATATTTACCAAATAACTCAAAGGCTGCCAGCACTAAGAAAAGGTTAATATTTTGGTGTAAATTTCTAATCGTTTTATGCAATTTGGTAACTAATTAGTAACCGCAACGTTTAACAACTTTGGGTTTTTCATCGAAATTACAAGTTTACTGGTGTCTTGATTGGTTATTTCGCCCCATTATTTTAGTATTATGACTATCAAATGCGAAATTGAATGTGCCCATAAATGTTCAATTAAATTTAAATCCGGTGACTGTGGAGGCGTATTGAGCAGTTTTGAGGCGTTATATAGCAACCAAAAACGCACAATTTATGCTGTATGTTTAGGATCATAGTTCTGTTGTAAATAAAATTCATCTGTTAGTCCCAATTTGTCAGGACTTGATCGCATATTTCTCTTCAAAATCTTTAAATAAATGTGTTTATCCATTGTTTAAGATTACTTGTATTATTAGCTGTTAAACAACCCCAGAGCATCACTGCACCACCTTTATATTTTACAGTTGGGAAAAGATTTTGTTTATTGTGTGTTTCACCTCGCGCACGCCATACTAATTTACGACCTTGAATGCTCGATACACAAAACTTGGATTCGTCGGAGTAAAGCACATTCTTCCAAAACTCCTCTGGCATATCTTCA